GTGCAGATGTAGTGGCACGCATGTAGAGGTTGGAGGACAACCGTCAGGAGTCAGTTCTCTCCTCCCAACTTGTTAGTCAGGGTCTCTATAATTTCTTCTGGTCTGTGTACTTAACGCTGGCTGGTTCATCATCATCCTGGTGATTCTCCTGCCTCCACCTTGTCATAGGAGTGCTGGGATTAGAGATGTGTGTCATTGCATCCAGATTTTTAGTGGGTTCCCGGGATGGAACTCAGGTCATAAAAGTGCACAGCCATTTTTGCTGGTCCAGGTCGGCTGAACTTCTGTCTCCGCCCTCTGTTTGAGGTATTTATTCTAGTTCCTGTAAGAAACTTCAGACAGGCCTGTTCGTTCTTTTTCCTTTAGTTTGATGGACAGAGTTGTATTTTCTTCTTGAACACCGCTCTCTGCTTCCTCCTAGATGTGGCTCCTCTGGACAGGAGGCTGGCAGTGTGCTCCCCCCATGTGGACACAACATACGTCTAGCAGAGGATGTTTCCCTAGTTGCAAGGTGGACATGTGTATCAGAGAGAGAAAATTTCTCTTTCTGCCTTTGTCAAATACACCCGTTTCTTTTTCTCTTTGTTGCCCGAGGTACTCTGTTGACTGCATTCCAGGCACCTCACCTTCACCTGGAGCCTGCCTCCATCTTTCCCCTTCCTGACTTCTGTTGACCTCCTGTGACCACTTCACTGGTCCTGTCCATGCAATGCTGTCACTGCAGCTCCTGTTCCTGCTTTCCCTAGCTGAGTGAATGTGTATGACCTTCGCACTGTATTCATGCTGTGGGATTTGCATGCTGTAATGATGTCGGTACGGAGGTTAGCAGATGGCAACAGAGCAATGAGACCTGACATGTTCTAATGACTCTCTCCTTCCCATCCTCACTGGCCAAGCCAGTGGAAGGGCAGGGGTTTCCTTGAAGTATTTAAGGAGGGGGCCAAGGGAAATCAGGGGGTGGGGCCCAGGTGCCGATGAGGCCTGTGACCTTTGCTGCTATAATATCAGTGTTTCACAAGCAGGGCGGTTCAGGAACCCACTTGCAGCCCATCAAAAATTGATTTAATTGCAATTTTTCCTCCAATTAGGAGCACTGGAGCCTGACTAATTGGAGTAATAGAGAGTAATAAGGCTCAGATAAAAAGCCTTCCTCGGCTTCCTTTGTATCTTGTGTCAGTGCCTGTCAGAGGTCAGAGAGCTTGCATATTCTATTAGGTAGCCTGGCCTTCATTTGTACAAATTAGTTTACCCAACAGTAATTAAAATGCCAATGCGGGTTGAAGAGAACTGAATACACTTGATGGGCATGTTGGTGAATGATGTGACAGCTCTGGTGGCCTCCCTTGCCAAAGTGTGTCAGCCTAGGCTTAGGCTGCTGGGGCCTAGGCCAGCTGGGTGGCTCTGGCCATCCACGGGCCACAGCTGCTGAGCACACCACTTCTGCTGCCTGTCTCCAGGCCAGGCTTTTCTTCTTCTCCAGTTAGAACCACGTTCAACTTGTTGATTCATTCACTCAATCATTCAGGAACTTTGGGGACTTCAGGCAGACATTGTACTACATTCTGGGAACCAAACAAAATTAACTTGAAACATAGCTCATATGCATTGTGGGGTGAAGGGTGATATAATGGATTTTAGAATTAAGAGGGCCAATTCTAATCCTACTACCTGCTGCTCAGGTGAAGAAGAGGCAAGTTTTACTACCTCCCCAAGCTTCCTAGTCAGTGGGAAATGCTAGTAAAATACTTGTTCAGCACCTTACACATAGTAGGGACTCAGTAGATTACAATGGTATGGTAATGTATGCTTGTAATTGTGTGCTTGGGAGGCTGGAGGGAGAGGACTAAGTTCAAGGCTAGTCTGGGCCACATACGAAGACCCTGTCTCTAAACAAATAGTAAGTGAATGACAGTCATTCCCCTGTGTCTGTGAGGAATTGCATCCAGTACTTGTCCCCTAATCAGTACCAAAATCATTACATGTTCAAGTCCCTTATTTAATAAGTGCACAATAGCCAGCAAGTGGTGTATGACTGTAATCCCAGCACTTAGTAGTCAGAAACAGGAGGCCCAACAAGTATGATGCCACCCTGAGCTTCATAGTGAGTTCCCAGTCAGCCAGGGCGCTCAAAATCAAAGCAAACAAAAATAAGGGGCTGGAAAGGTGGCTCAGTGAGTAAGCACTTGCTGCTTTTGCAGAGGACCAGGGTTTGATTCTCACCCTTCATATAGGACAGTTTACAACTGCATGGAACTCCAGCTCCAGGATTAATGTCCCTTCTTACCCTCCATTTTCCTGAATTTTCTCAACCTTCTGTTCTTCATCTTGCATGCAGGATCCCTAACTTTCTTGATTGGATGGCTTTTATGTCCACTTTGGACTTTATGGCCTATGTGATACCAGACTTGCCTGAGGTAGAATCAATGGCAGGTTGAGGGTATGAACAAGGGCTGAGAAATTTTAAGCTAGCTCCTGGCAAGGGTTTTGTTGCTAAAAAGAAAAGATGTTAGCTTATGGACTTGTTACTCCCCCATCAGTGGATATTGTCGTATGTTTCTGTTTAGGTATGAAGCTTTGATGATTTGGAGAATATTCCTTTAAGAAGCATGATTGGCTTCTCTAACCCTGTTGGCCTTGAACTCTGGGAGGCCCCTTTCTGGTTAGTTTTATGGATCTGTATTGAGTGCCCTTTGGGCTAAGCACTGTACTAGACATGGGAGTCCATGTGGGCAGTCTCTTAGGAGGAGCCATGGAAGGGATGCTTGTGTTTGATTTCATTGATGAGAATTTTAACAGGCTTGGCATAGTGAAAAATATGTAGCAAATCCAGCATAGACATCAGACTGACCCCAAGCAGGACAGGCTTTACATTTGGGAGCAAGGAGTGTGGCACTTAGAAAAGTGGGGGTTAAGCTGCCAATAAGGCATAACCCCCACCACATCGCTCTTTTCAAAGCATTCTATCTAGACGGTTTGGGGCAGGTGCTGAGTATTGGCAGCCCTGTCTGGGACTGGCCGGGTTCATCTGTTACTAGCATCATTTTTCCTAATGATCATAGGCGTTGGGGAGAGGGCAGACAGAAAGCATGGCCACAGCAGTGGAGAGGAGTTCCAGGAGTGCGGGACTACATCTATAGCTAGCTTGACTCCTTGACACCCGGTCAGCCCTGGACTGGGCATGCTCCCCAGCTGCTCAGGTGTCTGCAGTCTGAAGCTCAGCGTTTCTTAGGCCCTCCTACGGGCCAGAAAGACATTCTAGCTTCACAGCACCTAGGCAAAAGGGGAAGGACAGCTTCTGGAGAGAAACACTTAGAGGCAGGTATCTTTAACAGACAACTGAAGAGGTGAGAGGCCCTCTTCTTGGTGGCAGATGGTCAAAACCAGGAGTGAATAGGCCAAGCAGAGGACAAGAGTCCCTTGGGAAGGGTCTACATAGCCCCCCTCTTGTCCCTGCCCCTACCCCACCTACTGGGAGGTCAGGGCTGCAGGATTGGCAGGGATTAACTCCAGGCTCCTCCCTAACCTCTCTCTATTGATTTACCTTGAGGCTAATTTAGGCCTGTGGCCAAGAGGTCTAGAGAGAGACTTCCTTAAGAGATGTCTGTGTCTGTGCTGGCGCCCTTCATCTGGCCCCAACTCCTCAAAAGTCTGGAGAGCCCAATTGCCTGCTCCAATAATTTCCAAGTAGCTATTGTGTTTTCAGGCCAAGGTAATTGGCTTTACCAGTTATTAATGGGTTACCCTAGAGAGAGCAGCAGGAGGAGCAAGGCGAGCGAGGGTGACACCTCCTGACTCTGTAGTTTAGTTTCTTGCTGTCCAGTGGCAGCTGCCCAGGCTAGGAATGAGGCATGGCAGGAGAGGCTGTCTGGCACTGCCACTTTATGGTAGAATGACTGCTGGCTGTACTGTAGATTAAGAGGAAGTTGGGATGGATGCTATCATATTCCTGGAGGAAGCCTTGGAAGCCTGAGCCTCGAGAGCCCCAGTGTGTCTTATTTGGCCTTGTTCCAGTTTGGAGATGACAGGTAGGCACTAGTCCATAGTTTTGATAGTAAACGAGCCAGGTGGTCAGTGCCTGCCCAGGCATTTACCTCATCAGCAGCTGGCAGCTAGCTCCTTGCTTGCTGCACTGTCCAAACCACTGCCTGTTTCAGAACCTTCTCTGTAGCACTCCACCTCCTTCTGACACGTTGGGTACAGAAAGTACAGGTGCTGGGCCGTGTAGGCCAGTGGGCTGCTTGCCTACATGGTTAACGTATCATTAGTGTATCCAGGCTTCCTTCCCCTGTGCTGGACATGTTGGGACCTGGCCCATCCCTGCCCCAGTGTTTTTAACCTTACTGATTGACATGAGGTTTCTTTTCTCTCTTTCTTTCTTCCTTCATCCCCCCACCCTCACCCCAGACAGGGTTTCTCCGTGTAGTCCTGGCTGTCCTGAACCTAGCTCTGTAGACCAGGCAGGCCTTGAATTCACAGAGATCCGCCTGCCTCTGCCTCCTGAGTACTAGAATTAAAGGCTTGTGCCACCACTGCCCAAATGGTTTCCCAATTCTTAAACCCTTGTGGAATGTCTCCAGCTGATTGCGGTATCACTTGTCAGTCCCAGTAGGATGTTCCCAGGAGACCTTATGGCATTGCGCTCTCAAGTCTCAGACAGCGTTATCTTTAAGAAGCTCACTGCCTTGGGCTCAGAACTGCACTTCCAGAGGTCTGCTGCTGCTGTGGTCAGAGGACATGTGGTCCCAGTCCAAACAACAAGCTCATCTGTGGTTGAACCTGTAGGTCCTCTAGTCAGCCTTGGGAGGTTGCACCCCTCTCCACTACCCACCAAGTTATCTTTCCCAGGCTTCTGTGGTACTTCCTCATTCTCTCTCAATGTTTCTTTTTCTGGCTTAACCCCATGATCCCTGGGGAAAGAGCCCTGCATTTCTAATGTGTAGCCATTTCCGCTACAGGTTCTGACAAGCCAGCTCTAACTCAGCTCTCCTTTTGTTCTGCAGCTCCTTTGTGACAGGAACAGCTTGTTGTGGGCACTTCTCACCTCTGAGGATCTGGGACCTCAACAGGTAAGAGATTCCTAAACCCACAGAGCATTCAATGGGGGCAGGGGTAGGCAGCTGGGAGACAAAACAAGAGCTAGCTGCTCACCAGCCCCTGCCCCAGTTAGCCCTGCAGTACCACATTGGAGGAGGTGGGACAGGAACCACACCTAGCCACCCACAGGCAGCTGCAGTGCCTTTCTTGGGAGTTATTTGAGGTTAGCTTGAGGAGATCACCTGTACCAGGTGGATAATTTTATGTAGAATTGATAGTAACTACTTGGATTTAATATACCTTCTGAAGAGTGCCTGGCTATGTAATCTATTCTTGGAGGGGGATTTTTATGATATAAAAAATTTCAAAGGTGGCCTATAGAATCTATAAAAAGAGTTGTATAGAACAATTAAAACACAACCAGGTTTTCTTTACAGTTTTCCAGTTGGCAAGCTTAATACATTCTCATTGATTGTCTGCCATTCTGTTTATGGTTTTTTTGGTACCCCCGCCACTCCCCAGACAGGGTTTCACTGTGTACAGTCTTGTCTGTTTTGGAACTCACTCTGTAGACCAGGCTGGCCTCAAACTCACAGAACTGATCCACCTGCCTTCTGAGTGCTGGGATTAAAGGTGTATGCCACCACTACTGGCTTGGTTTTGTTACTTTTTAACCAAAAACTTTTATTTTGAAATAATATTCTATATTCATAGGAAGTTACAAAATAGACTAGAGGGGTGCTTGTATAACATCTTAAATAACAGAGCAGAGCAAAAGCAGGAAACTGACACTGGTGCGTCCCATAAGCTGTTCTTCTGCCCAGTGCACCTACTACCACAGCCAAGGTATAGACTCTGCCGGGCTGTGGAGGCACCCCTTTAATCCCAGCACTCAGGAGGTAGAGGCAGGCGGATCTCTGTGAGTTTGAGGCCAGCCAGGTCTATAACACAAGTTCCAGGACAACGAGGACTGTTACACAGAGAAACCCTGTCTTGAAACCCTGCCCCCAAAATATAAAGATTCTTCCTCATACACCCTTCCTAATCATACCTGCCACCCCTCTCTAACTTCCCACAACCACTTAGATGCTCTTTGCCTCTAATTTTGCTATTTTGAAGATATGATATAAATGGAATTGTATGTTAGCTTTTTGAAAAAAAATTATTTATGTGTATGGGTGTTTTGCCTGTGTGTATATGTCTGTGCAGCATGTGCAATGCAGTACCTGCAGAATCCAGAAGATAGCGTCAAAGCCCCTGGAACTGGAGTTACAGACAGTTGTGAGCTGCCATGTGGGAGCTGGGAATTGAACCAGGGTCCTCCGGAAGAGCAGCCAGTGCTCTTAACCACTGACCCATTTCTCCAGGTCCTAGTGTGTTACCTTTTTAAGAATAGCTTTTTAATGTTGGGCATGGTGGCACATACCTTTAGTCCCAGCACTAGAGAGGCAGAGGCAGGTAGATCTTTGTGAGTGCAAGGCCAGCATGATCTACATAATGAATTCCAAGCCTGCCAAGGCTACACAGTGAGATTGTCTCAAAAAAAAAACAAACAAACAAGTAAAAAACAAAGATTTTTTTCTTAGAAAACTCAGCATATTCTACATGTCCTACAGACATATACATATCAGTATCATTCCTTTAGATTACTGAGTATATAGTCCACGTGCAGACATACCCAAGTCTCTCTCCTGTTGAAGAACATGCACCCATTCAGGGACATGTGCGTTGTTTTCACAGTTGGACGACTGCAAATAAAGCTGCTATCTAGGACCATCTGTGCATAGTTTCATGTGGGTGTACATTTTCATTTCTCTAGGGTAAATGCCAAGAAAGTCAATTGCTTAGATTGTTTTGTTTTGTTTTTTTGAGACAGGATTTCTCTGTGTAGCTTTGGAGCCTGTCTTGGAACTCTAGACCAGGCTGGCTTCGAACTCAGAGATCCACCTGCCTCTGCCTCCCGAGTGCTGGGATTACAGGTGTGCGACATTTTATTTTAGATGATTTTAATAAGTGCATGTTTAGTTTTTTTACTTACCAGACTTTTCTCAGCACATCTTTGTCATTCCACATGTCCACCAGGGTACAAGGTATCTGGTTTTCTTTACATCTTGACCAGTGTTTTCCTAGTGCCACTGTTTTTATTTGCTGTTCTAATAAGTGTGATACTATGATTTTGACTTGGATTTCTCTGATGTTGAACATGTGTTCATATGCTCATCTGCCATCTGTATATCCTGTTTACGAAATGCTAGCTCATGTCCATGGTCCATCACATTGCTTTTCTACTATTGAGTTTTGAGCTTTATATAGTCTGGACATTAGTCCTTTGTCAAATGTTATAAATATTGTCAAATTTGCAAGTATCTTCTAATCTGGACCTTGTCTCTTTGTCCTTTTTAATTTAATGTCTTCTGTAGAACAAATTTTTAATATTTATGTGTATGTGTTTTATCTACATGTATTTGTCTGGACACCATGTATGTGCTTGTTGTCTGCAGAGGCCAGAGTGGGTGTTGGATCCCCTGGAACTGGAGTTACAGATGGTTGTGAGTTGCCATGTGGGTGCTGGGAACAGAATCTGGATTCTTTGGAAGAACAGCCAGTGTTCTTAATTATTGAGCATTTCTTTAACCTTCAAACTTTAAATTTTGATCCAGTCTAAACTACTGATTTTTCCTGTAATCAACTGTGCAACACCTGAAACTCTTCCGCTGGCCTGTACTGCAAGAGGGAGGCTGCGGCTTTCCTGTC